GCGGCGCGGCGCGGCGCGGGGCGGCCGCCCAGGAAGAGGAACTGTGTCGGCCTCGGCACGGGCCCTGCCGCCTCAGCCGTGCTGGGACGCTGCCGGCTTGCAAGAGAAACAACCGGTCCCTGCTCCTTCGGCCAGCAGCCTGGCGAGCTCTGGATGCGAGGAGGAGGACAGTTAACAGTGAGTGAGTGAGTCTCACCAGGGGTAAGACAGGACCTTTCCTTCTCTAAGTTCAGAGGCAGGCCTGATGTGGGGCAGTGCCTGCCCCCCCTGTTGCAAGCAGATTTCTCCCCCACGCACCTTCCTCTCCTGCAACCCACTGATGGGGCAGAGGTCATCCTGGTGGACCCACAGGTGGAGGGGAGGCTGGAAGCAGAACACACATGCGCCAGCAGGGACTTACTATGTAATTCACAGGGGACCATTCCAAAACGTTAAGCCTTTCTCCAGACTGCTTTGGTCTGAAGAGAGTGGTGTGGAGGGTTACTAAAGCCTGGTGTTGACAGATTGTATTGCAGCTGTGCTTTTTTGGGAAGGGCAGAGTTCTCAGAGTTCTCATGTGCCCGTCTCCTGTGACCTCTTACTACTCCCATGGTCTCCTTTCCATCCTCTTTCTTCTGGGACCGCAAGGAAGGGACACACCTCTGTCACTGCAGGGGAAGCCGTGGGGCGTTCTGCCCATAAATTAACACCTCTGATCACTGATATACTAAAAGGTTGCAACAAGCTCTTCTCTTGACTATAGGGAATCAGAATCTGATTAGCTCAAGCAAAACCAAAAAGCACCTCAAGCACTATGGCCCCCTGCTTCCCTCTTTGGGACACCAGCAGCACGGTGAGCTCCCCTTATACTGTGGGGCTCCATCCCAGCTTGCAAGACAGAGTCCTAACCTCACTGATCCCCTGTTCCAGGGCTAGACCTTTGCCATGTTTCAGGTCTACTAGATGTGCTGCCAGCCTGATGTGGGGAGCACCCCTCTTCACCCAGCTCACAGCCTTGCTGTGTGCAATCAACATCATGGGGAGCGTGTGAATGCATAGCCCTAAGTGCAGGGGAAGCACAGTGCAGTTCAATGCTCAATCCCACTGTTTCCACAGGATGGGCCAACAGTGTAATATCCCAGTGGGTCATTGCTAAGATGTCACTTTCTGACTTGCACTAGTGCTCCAATCTTCTCCCTCTGCCCTAGGTGCAGCTCCAAGATGAAGCCTTCATCTAGGCAAGGCATAAGGCTGGCATACCTGCTCCTGAATTTGGCTCCTCTCTGCCTTCCCACCCCACTCTGGAAGGACCGGGACTCCCTAATGCAGGAGGAGAAAGCCCAACAGACAGGTGGCAACTTGCTGCTGAGTAGACAGGAACAGCAGCTCAATACGAAGCTTGTAAACCTCAAGAAGAAGGAGGTTGCAACAGCCATAACTACAGGACAGTTTCCTCCAAGCATGCACTTCTTTCGGGCAAAAGGTCTCATTGATCAGAGCATGGTGTTCAGCATCTTAAAGCGCATGCCAAAAGGTAAGCTTGGCCTAGGGGTTGCTTGTCTTATTCATCCTCCTCCCACCTTTTGCTTTCTATGGCAGAGCTAGGACAAAGTGCAAGATGTGGCAGAGAAGTTTTATGCGCACTGGACTCCAGGAAGAGCCCTGCCTCTGAGCTTTGGAACAGGGCAGGGGGAAAGAGGAAGAGGGGGATGGATTGGATGAATACACATTTCCAGAAATTGTAACACTTGGTATAACTTACAATATGGATCCTTCAGCCTTTCAAGTGTGGAGAAAGGGCAGAGGAAACAAAGACAACAAGACATCACAGACATCCATATTGTTCACCATGTTCCAGCCAGGGCCTTTTTCCTTCTTCTACATACATATACCACAGGCATGTTATGAACCTCATCTTAGCCAAAAAATGCTGTATCTCCCAATAATACAATTATAACAATGATAATGTTGGAGCACCTCTTGTATGAAGACAGGCTGAGGGAGTTGGGCTTGTTCAGCCTGGAGAAGAGAAGGCTCCAGTGGGACCTTATTGTGACCCTCCAGTACCTGAAGGGCCTACATGAAGGAAGGGGAATGTCAATCCAAAAGGGTTTGTAATGATAGGACAAGGAGTAGTGGTTTTAAACTGGGATAGATTTAGACTGGACAGTAGAAAAAAGTTCCTTAACATAAGGGCGATAGATCACTGGGATAGGCTGCCCAGAGAGGTGGTGGAGGACCTATCACTGGAATCATTCAAGGTCAGGCTTGATGGGACCCTGAGTGACCTGACCTAGGTAGAGATGTCCCTACTTGTGTAGGGAGGTTGGACCAGATGACCTCTAGAGGTCCCTTCCAGCCTAAAACATTCTATGATTCCATGTCTTTCTGCAACTGGTTCTGTAGCAGACCCAAAAGTTTCCAGGAAAGTCTGGGAGCACTAAAGAAGAAGGTGCTAACTCTGCAAATTTCTTTACTTGCTGAATGCAAGTCAAAGCTTGTGTTGATGTAACCTATGGAATACAATATAAAAATGACTGTATTCTCTCAGTATTTCTAAATCAGGTTCTGTGCTCTTATAGGAGATGTCTGGTTATAAGGACAGGTATTTCTCCTCTTGTCTTTGGAGATATTGTTCCTCCTGCTGTGCAGCAAGCTATATGCTACTCAGTTGCCACACCCTGTACCAAGAGGGGTTCTGTATGCTGCAGCACACAGTTCTAAATGCATTTGGACCATTTTAGGTTAGTTAGCAGCATGAGATTGTCCAATACCTTCACCACACCATCTTGTGCATCCTCTGACTAGCAGCTGGGACAGAACAGCATCTGAAAGCTCAGTACTTGAGGCTGCTATGTAAATGGAGAGAGGACATTTTTTAGCCAAGGTGAAATCCAAGCCACCTAGGCTGGGTAGCAGGAAGCTAATGTCTCCATGTACCTGAGCTGCAGATAGTTCAGCAGAAAGGAAGGAGGTTGAAGTGATCACAGGAGGAAGGCTTTGACTCCCGATTGACTAGTTTCTCCCTCTGCTTCAGTAAGGAAGTATGTGAACAAGGTGCCTTCTTTAACTAAAGATAAGATGCAGTTGCAGCAAATATTGTCAGTACTCTTGTCCCTCTGAACAATGTCCCCCATTCCAGGTGGTCCATTTTTAGATTGAGTCCTATGGTCTTGCCCCATGGCTGTCTGGAAGCAGGTTGGTGACCTGGTCTGGAAGATTTGGGAGTCAGCTTCTCTACAGGAGCATGTTTCACTTGCAAGACTGTAACCCTGGCACAGGGCTAAAAGCCATCTTTCTCACTTCCCAGCTTCTCCTTCCCAGCCTCTGGTATGGGATGAGGATCCCTGGATTGCAGCATCCTATTCTGTTACCATAAGTGACTGATATGTCACAAGTGTCATACCAGTGACATTTATCCTTTCATTGCTGAATTGAACAGAAAGGAATTTAAAAGCACTTCCCTCTTCACTTCCAATGGTGCATTTTTTGACATCAAGCAGCAAACAAAATAAAAAAAATTAACACTTCAGTCCAGGGGATGTTAAAATGGGTTCTCAGAAACTTTGTAAGAGCTGTAAGCTTTTTACAGCCAAAAAAATCACATCCTTGTAGGTGTCTGATCAGGACCTAGTCTTAGAGACCTCAGTCTCAGTCAGAGCTCCTGTAAATTACTGTTGTGTCAAGCACCATTATAATTTGTATTGCTGCTCATAGGAAAGAGGGGTGGCACTGCCAGTGAGAGGAAGGTCAGGTCTAGACAGCTGTGGCATGCCCATTCTGTCACACTACCTCTCTTGAAAACAGTAACTACAGTTGCTCAGCATCTTAACAGTCAGTCCACTGTAACTTCTAGTCCTGAATTTTGTCTAATGTCACATACAAACCAGTCTTTTGTCCTGTTCTTGCCGCTCATGTTCTGCCTTTACCCCTATGGGCATCAAAGGTATTTTGACTATGAAGTCTCCTCTAGACTGATAAAATATATATCTGTAAGACTTCAACTCTCACAGTATCTTGCCTTTATGAAGATGACATTTAGTTCAATTACCAAGAATGTAGAAAGTCTCTGTAAAAGGAGAGATTTTAGCAAAATGAAAGGATGGGCTGAGGAAGGTGAGCTTGCAGAGGATGTTCCTTTGCCAGGAAGACTGTCAGCTGTCAACATATTGCACAATAACAGAGCACCCCAGAGGCCCTTTGTGCTGGCCAGCAGCAGATGTACAATGCAAGTGAGCATGCTCTTGATAGGGCACAGAAGTAGACAGTACTTCTGTATCTGAGCGCAGTCTCCTGGTGTGTCACGGTCTGGGATTTTTGGTGTACACCAGAGTTTCAAAGAGATGAAAGAAGAGGCACAGACTAGATGCAGAAACTGAGGCTGGGATTCAAACAGCTTAGATACAGAGGCTTCCTTCAGGTCTGCCAGTCAGCTAGCATGCCTTGTAAACTGCTGCCTACTGTGCGAGTTCCTCTTTAAATCAGTGGGGCCTGAGCCAGCTCACAGCAAAGTCTGTCTGAAAGATCTTTAATAACTCAGAGCATTTTCCATCCCAGCAGAGCAGCAGAGCTCCCTATTGACTTCCCCCCTCCCTCCACTCCCAGGGAGCTGTCACGCTCTGGCTGCCCTGTGTTTGATGTGGAGGGGGCCACATCCCCCAGCATGGGGGAGGCAGAGCAACCACGCAGTCTCTGCTGGGAGAGGTCACTTACAGCCACCTAGAAGCTTTTCCAGATGCTCCTGGATGTGCAGACCCAAACTATTATCACATGAAATGTCGGTGCCTTCTTCTCAGCTGCTTTGTCTCATGAGGCTACACTTTTCCTCCCACCAGGTGCTGTCTTACACCTGCACGACTATGCCATCCTGAGCGTGGACTGGCTGGTGCACAATGCCACCTACCTCCCCGACTGCTACATCTGCTTCACCCCCACGGGCACCATTCGATTTCGCTTTTCCAAGCCTCACCCTCCCCATCCGCTGCCAGACCAGTGCTCCCAGTGGGTTTTGCTGGAGTCTTACCGGAAGCAGGTGGACAACGTGACTGAGTTTGATAGCAGGTAAGTGAGGAGAGGCTGCGAGCCTGGTGGTGCTTCTTGATAGCAGTATGTAGCCAACAGGATCAGCCTGGTCCAACTTTCCCATTTGCTTGCTGCTCTGGAAGGGAGGAATGTCATTTAGGGCTGCATACATAGAATAAGCAAGCAGCAATATAAGGGCTTAAAGACTGCAGCATTAAGGACACCAGAACTAGAGATCATCAAAATGTAAGTTTTCTGTGCACCCTCACTCTGGTCCTTTACACAGACATGTTGAAGACAGTGGTTTAAGTAGATTTACGTGACTTGCCCTTACCTCTCATTCAGCACCCAGGCTAGATGAACATGGGAAAGGACTGCATGCTGAAAGATCTTGTCTCACCCATTGAGATACTCAGAAACAGGATGAGAAAGTCAGGTTGGTGAAGAACATTCTCTCCCCAACAGCAGAGAAGTAATTTGTAAGTGCACCAGCAAAAAAAACCCAAAACAACCCAAAAAAAAACCCCAAATCAACCTCTCCCTCCAAACACTAACCTTGTTTTCTGAAGATGGTCTTTGAAACCCCGCTGGTACGCATCATGCTGAAGCACAAAGAATTAATTTCCAGCAGGACACTCAGGCACCAGGAACTGCAACTTGCCCTCCCACCCTCTGACAAGGGGCTAGGTCTCAGCCCAGGCCAATGAACCCTACACACAGTTCCTTTGCCTGGTAACACTCTTCCCCCTCTCAAGATTCTGCTAAGAGAGATTCTCCCCTTACAGGCGAGGCCTCCTATAGCTGTCCAGGAACTCACCCCTCTGATGGCTCCCCAAAGCATCACTCACTCTCTTGTAGGAGCTCCTCTTCCTTGCAGGCAGCTCCTGTTTTGCCTGCTGTCAGCCTTTTATCAGCACCGGGTGCCAGCTGGTTGCTCAGCAGCCACCTACAATTTAAAGTCACTTACAGGTGGGTGGGGGTAGCCTGGCTCCCCCTTCAGCCTGGGTTGGCAGGAAGAGGGAGACCTACCTCCCCATCCAGTGGCCATTGATCCCAGCACAAAGCCATTCCAAAAGGACCAGGAGGAAGCATGTAGTCCTGTAGGGTGTGTTGGGGGCTGGAGAGCACACTAAATAATGTATGAAGTCAGACACTGAGTGATGAGGACAAAGGGAAATATTGAGTAGCAATCCATTCAGAGGGCACTGCCCTTTGTGGCACTCTGGGGGTTGGGGTGCCACAGAAAAAAAAAGACTATGGAGTGTCATGTAATTAAAGACAGTAACATCATGCTGACACATGAGGAGAAGGCTGGATTAAGGTGATACAAGTGACCCTAATTACAGTATTTCCCAAGTGAAACTTGATGGGTTTTTACTGTAGTGCTCTTCAGTGAGGGTGTATGCTCTTAAATAGAGACCATTTAGCTCTTAGGGAGCTGGTGTCCCTCCACATGGAAGCTATCTGGGCTCTGTGCCCAACAGGGGCATCTAGGAAAGAGGTCGGGATGGGAAGCTGAGGAGCTGCCAGACCTTTGGCATAGTATTGCCTTCCCTCCCCAACAACAGCAAGGGGCAGAGCAGAAGGAGCTGACTCTCTGGGCCACCTACCACCCATCTCATAGATCTCATAGATCTCTCCTTCTCCGGAAGGGAAGGAGAAAGTAGTGCCAGACCCAGGGCTCTTGAGCTTTTATATCCTGAGGCTCAACTGCTCTGATGTGTGATAGAAGAAATAAGATGCAGTGAGAAGTCACCTATCTATATCTTCCAAATAGAAAACTGGTACCCCATCAGCTCCCTTCTATTTCTATCAGGAGTGATGAGGAGGTAAAGACCACAACACCAGTTCTCTTCAGCCCCACCATGAGACCCATAAATGATGTGCAAGAGATTGGATTTTGAAACAGCATCACTTCCTTAAAGCCCAAGCAATTGCACTGGGTATTTCAGAACTGTCTCGGGAGCAACCTTTTGTTGTATTTGGTTTTGGCTGTACTTCTGCAGTGTGACATCTCTTCTGCACGAGGCTAGAGGCCACGGCATCCTATACCCCTGCGAGGGTGGAACTGTGCATTGTTTGGTTCCCCTATGTTCCTGTTTGGGAACATGATTTCTTTTCAGAGGCAGTGTTATCGCATTCCTCTTCTTTTTTATTAGTGTTCTGACAACATCTAGTAGCTACAAGTCAGAGCAGGACTTCAGAGTGGCAGGTACTGCACAAGGACACAAGACAGTGCTACAAGGGTCTCCCCAGGGGTGGAGGCGAAGTGAGGCAGAGACCAATGAAGTGATTTTCCTCAGCCAAACTCATGCCACAGCCAAGTACAAACTTGGATCTCTTGCATTCTGGGTGCTCAGACTTACCCCTTTGAGTATGCTGTCCTTCATTTCTTGCCCTTCTGTGCTCATCACGACAAAATCACAGAGGAGTCATTGCATATAATGTGCAAACACATGAACAACAGCCACATTGAGGCGATTCCCCTCCTATTTTCATCTAATCCCTGGGTACTAGTGTAGGGGTTAGGAATGTTTTTTGGCTGTCTGGAAATAGGTCTCTAGCCAGGAATAGGCCCCAATCTGTTCTGCTTCTCAGTTTCTGGAAACTCTCCCAGTCTCTTGAACATGTGCATCCCAGGCTACCTCTTTCCTGCACTCTTCTTTGCCCTTGAGCACTGACAAGCTGAGAGAAAGCAGATGTCAGAGGAAGGAACGGATGGATAGTTGGGTGGTTTCAAGGAAGTGTCAAGGGAATATGGCAGCAGGGAAGGGCTGTCATGCAAGACAGGGTGGATCAGCAAACGTGAAGGAAACAATGGAAATGTTTCCTTCAGAGGCTGCACCTCTTTCACCTTACTGCATTCCTGACCAGGAAGGGGTGAGGGAGAGAGGTATCTGCATGACATTTTGCTGTTTGCATTTTTAGGTGTATATGCATACATATACATATGTGTGTGTGTGCGTGTGTTTTGGAAGGAAGTCTTTTTGTTTGTTTCCCTCAAAAAAAGGTTTAATCATTCCTATTCAAAACACACGTCTGATGGGCCAAGACCCTGGAGTATTCTGTTACTGGTAAGCTTCCAAAAGGATGCTGTTACGAGAGTCAGGAGGCCATGAGCCAGGAGACAGAGAAAGGAAGGCAATTTTGCTTTGAGACTTAAAAGAAAAGATAATCCTAACTTATTTACTTCACAATAAATTACAATAGAGGAATGACATTTTTTTCTTCAAGATGCAACATAGTGGCCACTGTCTCTAAAGCAAGAGCATGCCCCTAGATACTTAGGGAAATAATATTGAAAATACCACCACACACACCCTCCCCCACCCGCAGCCCGAGGACTAAGGCCGTGCCCGGCAGCACAGCTCCGGCAGCCCAGTGGAGCTCTCTATCACCAGGATGAAGTCATCTGTGAGGGAGCTGACACCAGAGCCAAGGCTGTGGGGACAACTCCCTCGGGTGCTAGTGGCTGCCCAGACCGCCATCACCTTCCCCTCCGTGTCCTCTGGCTGCCTTATCTCACAGAAAAATAGGGCAGTGTATGCATTACAAGGGAAGAAAAAGAATAAACATCCACTGTAGAAAAAAGCACTCTGCTCCCTCTACAAGTCTCCCCTTGGGGAGAAGAAGAGAGGACGAGAGAGAGAGAGAAAGCGAATGAACCACATGTGACAGATGTTAGTCACACTATTTAATGCACCACTGGAAGACATTCAGATAGTACGGTGAGGAGAGGGGTATAATTACCCATCGAGAACAGAAAAAGAAGCAGGAAAAAGAATCCCTTATACAACAAGGCAACAAACCCACTTGCTCCTGCACTCTACAGTGCAAGAAAGCAAAACGGGGGAAAAAAACAGGAAAAGAGAGAGCAAAACCACAGTTCAAAATAAATAATCCTTAGATGGTCGTTTTAGCTGTGCCCCTTTGGGCATATGCATTGCAATAGCATAGCGTTGTTCAATGCATATATGACATGACATGGAAGGCTATTTGTAGTCTGCACCTGATCACTGGCGAGGGCCCATTCCAGAAAAGAAGCAAAAGATGTATTTTTGAAGCTTTGCTTCATCTGCATGAGCTCTGATGGCAAAAGCCCCTGAACCCTTAGGAGATTATCCAGTTATCAAGGATGGATCTCTATTATGCAATAAATTTTCAACAGTTATAGGGATCAATAATCAGTCTCAAAGGGAAGGGGATTATAAAAAAACCCATGATTTGATTTATATGCTTTTAGGAGCAGGGCGGTGTGGGGATTTACTGCTGTTTCTAGCCCAAGAGCACAGGCTAAGTAAACAACCACAAGTTTGTACAGCTAGATTTAAGGGCAGGGAGGGGAGCTCTGTGGGCACTCGTTGCTGGAGAAGCCGAGTTCTCACAGGACAAAGGGAGAGAGCGGTGGGAGCCCGACTAACCACCCGTCCTTATCTGGAAGGAAGCTGCGCGGGGCGGCGAGAACGGGCTTGCACGGCCTTTTGATCCACGGGGAGGTTTCTCCCTCGGTGCTCGCAGGGCTGGTGGGAACAGCCCCGCTCGCCTCTCGGCTTCGGGCAGGTGCTCCCCGCTGGTGTGCGGAGCTGGCGGGAACTGCCCTTCGGCCAGGAGGTGAGAGGAAAAGTCTCTTTCCCCCAGCTCTTCCCACATGAAACCTCCTCTTTCCTCCCCGCCGAGCTGCAGCACTTCGCTCCTGTGCGCTGGCCTCCACCGCAGCCCCGGCAGCTGGATCGGTGCCTTCGAGATGCCCCTGGCTCCTGCATTCCTGGGTTCTTGGATAATGCTGCAGTGTCTCCCGCTGCTGTGCACTCCCCACTGCCCACCCGAAAGGCCTCCTGCCCCTGCCATGTCCAGCTGGTTCCCATTTGGTTGCATAGATTACTGAAGAGTACCTGGGTTTGCCCAGTGTCCTGGGATAATGGCACCAAAGCCCCTATTGTAATGCGTGGGAAGGCAGAGCTGAAGTTGCTCCAGAAACCTTAACTCTGAATTTTCTTGAATGTTGAGCATTTAAAATCTCATCCTTAATGTGGTATGAGTGTCTCTTTATGTACAGTTTTGCTTCTAAAATTGTTCCTGGCAAAGAAATTAACAGAGTGAAGAAATGGAGCTGCAGCCGCTGGAAGAGAGTCCTTAGAGAGTGGTAGAGCAGGTAAACGCTGGGGGAATGGGCTCTGTTTTATAGGCAGGACGAAGGGACTCAAAAGGGATGTCCTTCCTTGGTTAATGACTTTGGACCAGATCACATTTTACATCTGTAGGAGGGAGGTTTATAGTTCCATCCACAGAAGCCTCCTGGAAGAAGATTATAAGAGCACAAATCAAACCCACACCTCCTGTATAACAGAGCAGAGCTCTGCATGAGGATGGGGGCCAAGACATCAAACACAAAACATTATTAAAGCTCAGTAGCTGTTATTGAGGGGAAACGATATACTCAGATGAAAGATGAAGCATGGTTGAAGGTATTTCTATCTCAACCTGCTTAGTCCCTGACACTAGATAAGCTTCAGGCCTGGACAGACCTGTAAGCCCAGCTGCCTGCAAGCAACCAGCTCTGTAGCTTGCTGTGATGGCTTCAGTTTGTTCACCCAGGAACAAAGTTAATCACCCTTGTATTGCCATTTAGACTTTGCCCGCCGGCTTGAGAAACTTATTACAAACTCTTCTTCGGGTGGCCACCAGCAGAGGGAGGAGAGCAGTTGCCAGAGGCAAGGCTTCGGGCAGGATGAAGGCTATCAGCTTGTCAGAGCAGAGCCCTGCATTGCCGCACAGACGCTCACCCTGTCCTAAATGCAAGCTGCCACCCACAACTAGATAATCTTGCAATTACTGGCTCCCTTAAACTCTGCTTGAATAAAACTACCCACCGCCTCTCTGGATTTCTGAAAGAGGCTTATATGCCAGCTGAGTCTGTGGAGGCAATAAATACGTTTCCATCCCACTAAGGAAAAGCCAGGACCTATGATTCTTATCGGTTGTTTCCCAGCAGACAAATCTGAAGAAGTTATCAGCAAGGCAGGCAGGATATTAGGTTTGTTCCACTGGGGGAAAAAGGATTCCTGATTCACAATTATTTTCCCCCGCTTATATTAGATGACATATTTTAACATTATGAAGATAGCAGGGCAAGTTACAGGCTTATTAAGCAGGTTGGTGGTGGCCCAGTACACAGCATGTCCTGGAGACTCAGTCTGCCTTTATGTGGTGAACAGAGGGCTGGGTGTTGTAACTTTTTACATGCACTGAAGAGGTTTGGGAGAATATATTGCCTGCAGGAGTAATGCATGAGCCTACTTTTGGATTAAGGATACCCCTGGGTAGCAGAGTACAATTCTTATAATATAAAAGTATCATACTTGTTTTTGTAATTCTATTACTCCTCAGTATTTTGCTCTTGAAAAAGGAAGGAGCAGGTTTTGAGCACCTAGTCTGCTTGTAGCTCAACATGTAGCATACAACATTTTACCTGTCAGCTATTATCTGTACCAGCCATTAGAGGATTAAATATAGGTGGCGGAAAAATGACCTGAGTCATTTGACCTCAGTCAAATGAGCTGGTGGTTCCTAGTCACACCAGTTGTTGTTAGGCCTGTTGCATTGAAGTACCAACAAGCTCAGAGTTAGATCTTGGGCCCCTGTTGTGGCAGGAATGGCTTTACACCTTTTCTTGGTCCTGCCCAAAGAACAACACGTGCCTCCTTCAGTGCAGCCACTGCCCTGCTGCACCCCAGAGCACGCGGCCGGGAGAGCGTCACATCCACAAAACTTGGCCTCTGACAATAAAACTTACACCTATCTCGGAGGAAACCTGTTTCCTCCTGTACCAAACACCTCACTGCCAGCCAGCAGCTTTTTGCATCCCAGAAGCCAATTGTCTTGTTTGCTCTTCTCATTCTTCCTCTTCTCTTTACGCTTTTCTACAGCTTGCTGAGAAACTTGACCCTGGTGACAGATTCCCCTGAGCTGGCCTACCCTTCTCAGTCTTTCATTTGGAAAAGATTTGAAGAAGTCTTTCTCATTGCCTCTGGACTTATCTGCTATGCACCTGTGTTCAAGGCCTATTTCTACCAGGGGCTGCTGGAGCTCTATGCAGATAACATACAGTATGTGGAGATAAGAGCTATCCTGCCTGCGGTACGTATTTTTTGGCTTCTCTAGTATTCTTTTCAATCCTTATTTCTCCATAACCTTTCTCAAGCCCTATCTTGAATTTAGTTTTTGGATGTTTGCATATCTGCCCTTCTAAGGATGCTGGAAAACCTTGATCATATTCAAAGGTCTTTGTTGGAGATTTGCATAGGCAAAGGCTTGAAAGTGAGAGATGCTTTGTTCTTAATGGATAAGGACTGTGGCAACAGCACAAAACTGCATTGTGCAGTCTGACTGGGAGCTGTATCTCAATCTTGTTGGCTGGGAAGATGTATTGCTTTGTCTGCATCAGAATCACCTGTTTTGTGGCAGCTCTTCTGGAAAAATTTCCCATCTTGTACAGAGACTTATTCTGGAATAGTTGCATTATTTTAAATCCACACCTTGTTTTAGACTGATTTCTCTGAATGGGCTGGTAAACTTACTGGCAAAGCACAGCCTTCCACAGTTTGCAGACAACCTAAAATTTTGGTTACATGTGTGAAGTATGAACTGCTCCTTTCATTGCCACTACACTAAAATCCACTGATAGTAGTTTAGGTCTTTCTCCCTGCGTGTCACCTGCAGCTGGTTAGATTGTCCTACAATCCCGTGCTGTCCCAAAGCCTTCCCAAGCACCAGCAGACCCCACCACCATTCTTTGGCTGTATCAGTTCCCACTTTCCCAGTGGCAATTTGAACACTGCAGGCACACCTTTTCCATACAACTCTCCAGACTAGCTCCAAGTGGGACAGCATGGGGGTGGCAGCTCTGTCAGAGAGGCAGATCTTATCAAAGCAAACAAACCAGGGCCACTGCTCCTCACTACATCACCTACAGCCGTGTCCTTAACAGTCCATTGCGATGTGAACGAAGCTGTTGTGCAAGGTCCATCCAACGGCACCTGAAGGTGGTGGTGGGCTCTGTGAGAGACTGCAGGTAGCAGCTTGCTGCTGGCACTGTGGCATCCCAGGGATGGAGCAGCCATGCTGACATCCTGCTGGTGGCCCGACTCCCAAACGTGCCTGCCAGCAACTTCCTTAAATCATTGCCCTTGCATGCAATAGCTGGTGGCTCCAGCCAGCTGCAGATGAACATCTGTGCCCCGGCAACCACTGCTGCCACTGGGCAGGCCTCTGCAGGCACTCTGTCAGCAGACAGGCACGTGCTGTGACAAATATGGAGGCTGATTTGGTTTTGTGTGTGCCTCCTCCCCAACAGCTAGGAAGTGGGGCTGCTAACCCTGTCCTGTTGCACCTTGGGCTGGCCCCATAACAAAATAGAGCTCAGTGCCACAGCTGCAGCCTGGCACTCTATCATGCCTGAGATTAGAAGAGTGAATTGAAAAAATAAACAAAAAAAAAAAGGAGAGAAGACCACCAAGCTTCAGTGTCTTACTTTGCTGGGCGTTGGTCGTGATCTGGTTGCTCTGAACTCAGTCACCATCTGTCTTTGGGTTACTTGGAAAGGGAAAATGACAGCAATGTCAAAATTCCCGTGCTGTGAGACAGCGTGAGTGCTGGCATCCCCCCAGGTCACACAGGTGCCCAGGCCAAGAGTACGAGTGTGTGGGCCTGACTGGAAAATACCCCACATTCGCCGGCAGCCCTTAGACGTGGCTGCAATGTCTTTTGAGGAGAGGCTTGGCAGGG